ACACACACACACACACACACACACACACACACACACACACACACACACATGCACACACTCAAACCAAACAAGCCCTGCCGGGTCACGAATACATTGCAGCAGTCTGCAAGCTGGTTTCCAGGTTTTGATCCTGTAACAGAGCAGGGTAAGATGTTACCATGGCAACAGCTCCCGATGCTATGAGACTTTGCAACTTTGTATAACTCTAGATTTTAAATGTGCACTCTACCCCTATCTGGCTGGGACACAGCTCTGCGGAAGTGCTTGCCTACTGAGCATGACGCCAGAGTTTGGGTCCACAGAACCCCCACAGATGGAGCACACTTACAATCCTAGCGCTGGACGGGAAGATCCCGGAGCCGGCCAGCCGGCCTGATGAAACTGGTGAGTTCCAGGTTCAGAGAGAGAGCCTGTCTCAAACTGTCTGCATGCGCTGTGAGCATGTGTATACAGACACACTTATACACTCACACACCATATGCACGCGCGCGCGCACACACACACACACACTTTTTTTTTTTTTTTTTTTTTTGATTAAAAATTTGAGAGTCTTCCAGGAAGTAAAGCAAAAAGGCCAAGAAAGCAGTAGTGGTAGAGAGGACCTGGCCCCGCAGGACTTCCGCCGGACGGGGAGCTGTCCGCGGTGCTGAAAGGCCACGCCTCTCCAGCGGACCACCATCCGGACTCCTTCCCTGCGGCTCCAGGCCTCCGCCCTCCTGTACGCAGGGCCCACAATTACTTCCTTCCCACCACCACCCCCGCCTTTGCACAGGACACCCCACTCCCTGCCTCCTAAGAAGGGAGGGAGGGTGAGGATCCCAGTGGTCGTGGGAGACCTCAAATCACCATGGTTATCACTGGGCAGAGCAGCGCGTGAGTTCTCTTTTCTTTATGTTCAGCTGTGTTCTCAGGCTTATGTAATAAAAGGATTACTTCTGAGATAAGAAGAATCAATAAAACTTATTATGCTCTAAAATACCATCGCAGGCTCCCTGGGGTTTGCAGCTCCTTCGGATTTCTTCACACTTGCAAAGAAGGCTGCCCAGCCCAGCTGCCGCCCTGCCCCAGTTTCTGACTGCGGTGACTACCGCCTCCCACCTGCCTCCCTGCTGCGTGTGCTCTGGGGGTCCATCCGCTTCCCCGGCCCCGCCTCCCAGCTCAATGCTGCCAGCTCCGTCCATCCGTCCTCATAGGAGCAGGCCCTTTGAAGAGTGTCTCTGTCTGGAGGAGACGGAAGCTTCCTCAGCCAGCATCCTGGTTGTCATGTTGGCATCGCAGGCTGGGCTCTGCCTCTCTGAGACTGGACTTCAGCACCGGGGCCTCCTGACCCCTGCTGTCACCCCGCTTGCTCACTGAGGCGCTCAGAGAGAGGTAGGGGTAGGGGAAGAGAGCAAGGGTGATTCCTTGCCCTGGCCAGCTATGACCTTCCCCAGGGCTCCTCTTCCGGCTCCTATTTTGAGGAAATTCACCTGCCTGTGGTCCCCTGTCCTACACGTGGGTTTGCCACACCCTCCAGAGTGTCAGCAGCATTTGTTGAGTGTGGCACTGGGTTCTATAATTGCACGTTAAATAAATGAGTGTGTGAATTAATGGATGTTTTCTGCTTTTGCACTCTTCCCTTTCGGGGAATCTCTATCTGATGCCCAGTTCTCCCTGACCCAGTCCTCTAGGAAGTGACCTGTCCCTCCCCGTGGCTCTGGTCTGCTCAGGCTGACGGGCACTGCCATGCACACTGTACTGATGAATTGCCACTTGCTGTTTGAGCCCAGCTGTGGCCTACACTTCAGACCCAAGCACATCTGTCTCCGCGTGTCCTCCAAGAGCCCTCGTCTGGGGGTGCTGACTAACTCTGTCAGGGAGGATAGGAGAGCAACCAGCCAGGGGCGAGACTGTCACACCCTTGAAAGCTGTTTCAGCTGTGTTCATCCTGTGACATGAAAGAGAAGAGAAACCTGAGACCCAGCCCGGACTCCAGCCCACTGCCTCAACTTCCCCACCAAGCTTCTGCTGGATGTTACGAGGTCTCGACCGACTGATGTGATCTTTCCCTGTTGGCGTTTGTTCTGTTGAAGCCTCCCGTCTCTGTCAGTCAGCATGTGCTGCTGTCCGTGGGAAGCCTCAGAGCCCGCCTCAGTGGGGTTCCCCCGCTGGTTTGAGTCCCTGCTTTGATGGTGTTTTACCATCTCTATCTCTTTTTCTTTGGCTTGCCATATATTCAATACACTCACTCAAACAAAAGCACGGCTCTCGGATCATCCTCTGAACCATACAGAACAGACCCCTATGGCTGACGTGACCCCAGAGTCACTCCCTCACGGCTGGATTGTGGAAGCCAAGAGGCAAGTGGAGTAGTCCTCGTCCAGCTGTCCTGTGCGCTGCTGAGGTGGCAGAGAACAGCAGAGTCACCTGTGAGAGCAGGCAATCACTTGTCCCAGCAACAGGAGGAGAGGCTGTGGCACCATTCCCACACTGGATGGGGGTGACTGAGACTCAGGGCAGCCGTGTGGCTGGCTGTGGGGACAGTCGCAGAGCCTCCGGCTCAAGCTCCAGGACCCTCCAGTTCCCACTGGGAAGTCACAGGGCAGGGACCATGGGCAGAGCTCCCACAGCCCCCTCCACACTCAGCCCGGGTCTCGCCCCCTAAGGCCTGTCCTCCCTTCTCTTGCCCCTTCTCCAAGCCGAGTCCCGCCACGTTCAGGAGCCCCCTTTAAAGGCTGTAATGTGGGGTCTTCCCCTGCACTCCGAGCTCTTCTTGTGAGGGCGTGGCGTTGTGTGGGTCTCTGTCACCACTCACACTCAATTCAGAGTTCAGTCCACTGACCCCAAGGGACCCTGGGACACTAGGAGCTCTGGCAGTTGGGCATCCTGCATGTCTGTCCTGCCTCTTGCCTCTGCCCTCGTCCCACGATTCTTTCAGCAACTCCATCTTAGCGCCAGCTCTCTCTCTCCGCCCCTTCACACACATGCACTGCCTGACCAGCTGCCCAGCCTGGAGGCTGCCACCTTTGTTCTGTCTGTCCTGGTCCCCTATAAATAGCCATTCGTCTCCTTGGTGACAGGGAATGTGTTGAACTGGCCCGGCAGCTCCTTCCGTCCCGTCACCAGGGTGGTCATTGAGAGGCTCTGTGCCCCTGCGGAGAGGGCCTCTCCCAACAGTTCTTGGCCCTGCGTCCCCTCTGGAAATGCCCACGTTGTCTCCGGAGCAGTGATGGAGTCTCCCTCAATGATCAGAAAGGCTCAGAGCTCGGAAGGGGCCGGCATGGTGGATGTCTCTCTAGTCTGTTAGGCTAGACAAGAGAGTGCAGGACGTGTTCCCCGAGGGGACCTATTTAATGGGTTTACTGTCGGGGAGCTTGGCAAGTGACCCTGATTAGGAACCCAGCGTGGGCCCGGGTGTAGGTCCATACTCCCGTCCAGGGATGGGGAGCCTGAGCCCAACTTGGGGTTGTGTGGGTCTAAGGATGGTGCTTAAAGCTGGAGGAGAGAGGAGCCCCCGGCCCCTGAGAGTGTGCAAACTGACCAGGCTACCCCAGCCCCCAGGCCTCCCCACCCTCTCTGCCCTCATCTCCGGCCAAACTGGGACATAGGCCTATTCCCCACAGCTCATCAGACACCGAAGCCTCTTTTCACAACTGTGGCTCTGTGTTCCAGACCCCAGGCACCATCGGACCCAGGATGTCTGTGTCTTGCTTGGTCTTTGTCAGAAGTCCATATTAAGAGTTGTTTTCCCTGAGTGGGAAGCCCTCCGTGACTGGGCCTTTAGGGCGCTGGGGGGGGGGGGGGGCTCACTTCAGTTTGGGAATATTGATTGGGAGGCATGCCTCCTGGCTGCCCAGGTAAGAGAATGTCCTTGGGGTTATACGGGATGAGGCCACCTAGGGAATGCCACGCAAGACAGAGCGAGGTCAAGGGGCAAGGGAGGGCTGGCAGGCCGTGGGAGAATGGAGCTGGCTTTGTGTGGCAGGGCGGGGGGGGGGGGCTCCTGCGCCGTGTGGGTGGTGCTCGGGTACGGAAGGACTCTCCCAGAGCACCCTCTCACCCTCACACCGACCCCACCATCCACACCATGTCCAGAGGAGCCGCTGTTTATTGTCGCTGCCCCAGGCCTGCCCCTGGGCCCTCGTATAGCCCTGCCCAGCCTCCTCCTGCCCCCTATTCCCGTCCACACTGGTTTCCACCCTCATGAGGCTGGACACTCGCTGCCCCGTGCGAGCCACTAGCCTTCCCACTGGCTCTACTGAGCCCATCAAAGCCACTATCCACAATGGCTGGCCCAAATGGGACCCTGAGCCACCACCGCTACCCCCAGGAAAAAAACCACAGAACACATGGATTTGGATGTTTTTTCCTTTGCAGATTTTTTTAGTAGACATAGTCTTTTTTTCTCTCTCATTTTACAGCAAACTTTGCAAATATAGATTTTTTTTTCTGTACAATAGAACAGCTACAGTGTACAATGAAGATGGGGTGGGGGCACACAGTATTTTCCAGCCTGCACCCCTCTTCCCCCCGGACCTGTCCCCAGCACAGTCTTCACCGCTGTGCTGGCCTGTCACACAGCCTCAGGTGCTGCCAGAAGCCGGCGGCCCAGCAGCCCTGGCTTCTCTGCTCTGCGCTCCACAGACGGGGAGATCACATTTAGGGGGTGCCTCGAAGCGGGCCTCGCCTGGTCACATGCCCCACAGTAGGTGACTTAGTTCTTTCTGGTTTTTTTTTTTTTAAGATTTTCACTTTTATATATAGATATATTTTTTTTAAAAAGGAAGAAAATAAAGAGGAAAGAGAGAAGAAAAGGAGAAAGAGAAGACTCAAAACAGGAAAGATAATGGAAAAAATTCCCCTCCCCCACCCTCACCCGTAAGACACAGTTTTCCGAAGTCCCGTGTGTGCATGTGCGTGTGTGCGTGCATGCGTGGGAGTCTGTGTGTTTGTGCGCGCGCGCACATGCGCGCGTATGTGTTTATGCATGTGTGTTTGTGTGTGTAAGCGTGTGTGTGTGTGCGTGCGTGTGTGCGTGTGCGTGTGTGTGGCTCGCTTGCTTGCACCAGGCAGCAGGCACCTTACAGTTTACATGAGAGTTAGTCTATCTACGGTTGCGGCCACCTGCGGCCTCCTCAGGCTGGCCCCGCGGCCTGGCTGTGCGCGCGCAGTCCCGGAGGGCTGCCGCGGACGGGCTGTCCTTTTTTTTTTGGTCCGGTGGGCATCACGAGTGTCGGAGAGGACGGGGCCCGGCTGCCTGGGCCCCGCCGAGGGTGGAGCTGGCTCAGGACTTGTGCTGCGCCGACACGCCTTTCCAGTAGTCCAGGATGTCGTGCAGGTCCTCGTCCTTGGCGAACTGGACCTTCTTGCGCAGGGCGTGGCCGGCGGCCATGAACTCGGCGCCGTCCTTGTGCCGCCGGCGGCTGAGGCGCAGGCGCTCCCAGATGCTGGGCGACGCCCGGCACGCGTACTCGGGGCTGGACGAGTAGCTCAGGTTGTGGTACTGCGGGGACAGCGGCGAGTAGACGAGGTCTCGCGGCCGCGGCCGCAGGGGCTCCAGGATGGAGGCCTTGCGGCCCCCCGGGCCCTCGGGCCCGGGCGGGGGCGGCGGCGGCGCGGGCGGCTCGGCGGGGTGCGGCCCGGGGTAGGAGTGGCGGTGCTCGCCGCCGTACGGGCGCCCCTTGTCGGCCTCGGCCCGCAGCGCGCCGGCCGCGGGCGTCACAGTGAGGATGGTCTCGGGCCCGGGGGAGCTTTTCTCAATGTACTTGGGCTCGGCGGCGGCGGCCGGGGCCTTGTGCGCGCCCGCGGCCTCGGGCCGGAAGGCGCGGGGGCTGCGCGCCGAGCCGCTGGACGAGGTGCTGGCCCGCGGGGGCCCGGGCGGCGCGTCGGCGCCGAGGTGGCGCTGCGGGCCGCCGTGGCCGAAGGCATCTTTGTACACGGGGGCCAGGAAGCCGTGCTTGGCGGCCAGGGGCTCGGCCAGCAGCACCAGCTGCGGCTCGGCCGCCGCCGCGGCGCCCGGCTTGGCGCCCTGGAAGGAGGTGGACTCGGCCTTGAGCGCGTCGATGCAGTTGTTGATGATCTGGTTGACCCTGTCCACCTCCTTGGCGATGGTGGAGATCTCGGCCGCCGAGCCCTGGCTCTCGGGGCCCGGGCGGCCCAGCTCGCAGGCCCTGCGCTCCGGAGCCTCCCCCGTTAGCACCTCTATGTAGTTCCCCTTGGTGGCCTTGGGGGTCTCGCCGCTCTCCGCCAGCTTGTACTGCTCCGCCGCGCCGCCGCCGCCGCCGGCCGGCAGGTAGGGGATGCGGGGGACGGCGTCGGGGCCCAGCAGCGGGCCCGGGGTCAGCGGGGCCAGCCCGGGCGCCTCGATCTCGGGGCCGTACTTGAGCTCGATGATGGTCTTCTTGAGGCTGCCGGCCGCCGCGGCCACGGCCTTCTTGTGCCTGTCCTCCCGCCGCCTCCGCTTGCGCAGGCAGTAGTAGACGGCGCCCAGGACGAGCACCATGCCGAAGAGGCAGCCCAGGATGGTCATGATGTAGTGGGTGGCCGTGGAGGGGCTGGGCACGGGGCCCGGCGGCCCGGGCGGCTTGGGCAGGCAGATGGTAAGGCAGGTATGGTTGTGCTGGGCGCCGGAGCTGGTGGACACCACGCAGTAGGTGTAGTTGGTGAGCGAGTAGAGGTTGGTGAGGCGGATCTCCTCCTGGGGCTGCGTCAGCTTGGACACGGTCACCGGCCGGCTGTTGTTGTACTGCTCCAGCGTGTACATGCGGTTGAAGGGGCTGGGCAGCTGCACCATGATGGTGGCCGAGTTCTGGGTCAGCTGCTTGACCTTCATGGAGGGGCGGACCTCCGTCTGGGCCACCAGCGTGGTCAGGACCAGCAGGGGCGTGGTGCCGTCGCCGGAGAAGCAGTCGTCGCCCGGGCACGGCCCGTCGCTGGGCTCGGGCGGGGGCGGCGGCGGCGAGTGGTCCGGCTGCGGCCGGCCCGGGGCGGGGCGCGGCGGCCCGAGCGCCTCGGCGGTGTAGGCGTCGTCCGTGCACACGGACTGCAGCTTGCTGAGGATGCTCCGCTGGTGGCCGTGGCGGCCCTGGCCCAGGAGGAAGTAGCCGGCGTAGACGGGCGGGGACTCACACTGCACGCGGTCGTGCGCCTGCGTGGCGTTGGCGAAGGCCGCCAGCCAGCGCAGGAAGCCCAGCAGCTCGCACGAGCAGTAGAACGGGTTGCTGTAGACCTCGCACACCGAGAGCTTGGCCAGCCCCGCGAAGGTGCCGCTGCCGAGCTGCTGGATGCGGTTCATGGACAGGTCGATGTTGACGATGCTGGGGCACTCCCAGAAGGCGCTGGCCGTCACCACCTCGATGAGGTTGGCCTGCAGGTAGAGGTACTCCAGCTTGCCCAGGCCCCGCAGCATGCCCTCCGTCAGGTTGCGCAGCCGGTTGTAGCCCAGCTGCAGCACCTGGAGGTTGAACTGGCCCGAGAAGGCGCCGTCCTCGATGTAGCCGATCTCGTTCTTGGTGAGGTTGAGGTACGTCAGGTTCCCGAAGCGGCTCAGCGAGGCGTACTGCACGCTGCGGATGCGGTTCTCGTTCAGCCGCAGGTCCACGATGGTGCTGTTGATCTGCTGGGGGATGGCTTCGTAGGGCGGCTGGTTCTGGCTGCAGATGGCCAGCCACACGAAGCCCTTGTCGCCCTCGATCAGCCAGCAGTCGCCCTGGGCCAGCCCGCCCGCGTGCAGCAGCGTGGCGGCCGCCACAAGCACCCACGGCGCCCCCCACCCGTGCCCAGCCATCTCGGGGCACGCGGCCTGCGGGGACAGGGTGGAAGCCTGGGCAGTGGACCCTCCCCGGGGGACTTGGGGGTGGGGTGGGGCACTTCCTGTGCTGTCAGAGATGTCCTGTCCCAGGATGCATGGCGCAGGCGCTGGGAGGGAGAATGGCTCCCTCACTGCCGACTGCCCCTCCTCATCCTCCCTGGTCCTGAGGTGGCCACGGCCTGCTTTCCCATGGGCCTGTGTGTGCTGGTGGCTTCCCCCGGCTCCTCTGTCTGAAGTGCCCTCTGCTGCAAGAGAAGAGAGAAAAAAGTGAGTCCCAGAAAAAGACCACGGCCCAAGTCACCAGGTAACTGAGCTGCCCACCAGGGTCTGCTGTAAAGCAGACAGCACAGCCAGCCCCAGATCGCGAGTGGGGCAGGGCTGAGAGCCCGTGTCTTCATGCTCGAGGCGGACATAACGTTCCCCTGTTGACCAGGTCAGAGGTCTCGCGATGAGTGACACAGGTCGCCGAGCACAGCCCTAAGAGAGCACCCAGGAGTTCATTAGGCGGGAGTGTGGGGCCTGCGGGACATTGCCTTCCCTGGCGCTGCGCCCCCAAGTCAGGGAGGTGGGTGTGGCTTTTCCTTGGGAAGGGCCACAGCACCTTCAGACTGCCTGCGGGGGTGCCGAGCCCCCGGCCAATGTCCCGGCCTGAGGCGGGACAGCTGTCCTTCCACCGCCACCCTCCTGCGGGCCTCAGTTCCCCCAGACGAATCAGCTGGCTGATCTCGGAGGCCGTCCAGCCCCCAGCACAGAGGACTTGAAGCTGTCCCCGTGTGACAGTAGTGGAGGGACAGCCCCACCTGCCAAGAGGTCCTTCTGGGGTTGAGGGAGACGGTGAGATGGCTCAGCGCATCAGTGTGACCGCTGCCAAGTACGGGTTGAACCCCCAAGGGCCCACACGGTGGAGGAGAGAACCAGCTCCTGCCAGTTGTCCTCCGACCTCCCTACACACAGGCAATCAATACGTAATGTAAAACAATTTTTAATAAAAAGAGGTCCTCTCCAGGCTTAATAAAAACATCCCCCAGTTCCCAGGGCTGAACCCATCTCCCTCCATCTCACACCCTGAGTTTTTATACAAGCAGCGCCTTCTGCCTCATGTCTCCCCTGGCCGTGCTTACACCCAGGACCAGGACTGTGCCTCCCCCGAATCCCCAGAGCCCAGAGCACATGCGTATAGGCCTGTGGGGTGAAGACACCTCATGGCGGAACTGGGGACCTTCACACCGTGGCTCCCTCTGCCCACTTGAGGGATGGGGAAATGGGTGTTAGCTTGTTAATACGGGGATTTACAGCAGCCCCGTCACTGTTCAGTGGCCTGGCCAGCAGCCAGCGAGTTTATTTCACCAGTATTGACAGCCGCATCTAGGCTGCACTGAGGCGACTGAAATGAGGAGGGAATATATGTGTGTGTGTATATATATATGTGTATATACAAAAACACACACACACAGACACACACACACACACAAATATATATATATATATATATATATATATATATATATATATATATATATATTCTTTGCAAATACCATAAACAAGACGTGGCTCCCAGGGGAATCCATTTCTGACTGAGGAAGATGAAGAGGGCAGGTTGGAGGCCCTAAGGGATCCAGGCACAGCCCTGGGCTCAGCAGCCTGGGGTCTGCTTCGACCTTGTGCCCTGGAGCAGGAAAGGGGACACGGGGCATTGGGGGGGCATGACCGAGGCCAGTGAGGCCTGGGAATCCTTTGGGGACCCTTATCCTGGGTTTTGACACCAATGTCAGGCACAGTGGTGGCCACAGTCTCGCCACGATGGCTTGAAGCCTGTACTGACACCGCAGGAGAGACTGAGGCGGAGAGAGGCTAGCAGGTTCATCCTGAGGGGACTGGCCCAGGCAGGCAGAGCGTTTCTGTCCTAGCCTCTGGGAGGGGTGGCGCCGGGCGAGAGATCTTAATCAGCTGTAATCTCTTCCTCAAAATAACTGAGGAGTTAAGCAGGATTACAGGCCCAAAGAGGCGCCGAGATGTCTCTTGCCGTGTGCCGGCCTCCTACGCGCACAGTTGCAGGTGTGGGCATCCGGACATTTGCATTCCTTTGTCCTCATAGGCATGGGTCTGCACGCCTATGCTCACCCGCACTCGGGACAGGCTCTGTGGGGACCTTGCGTCCTCTTGTCCCCTCTTGCCTCTTTCGCACTCCCGTGCCACCTCACGCATGGCAGTCCAGTCATTTATGCTATGACTCAGTGTGGCGAACAGCCCCGACTCTCCATTGCCCCCCTTGGGCTGGGCCTGCCAGGGTAACGGTAGGCGGGCAGGGTACGAGCGAGGGCCTCTGCCTCCGGCCAGGCTGTGCTCCTCTGTTTCCCCCTCCCGCCTTCTGCTCCCCACCCCACGCCTGTCAACAGTCGAGGGCTCTTCAGTCCACGGCAGGGCTGTACTGCCCCCCACCATCAGCAGCCCCTCAAGAGAGGAAAGACACTGCCTCACAGAGAGTCTCACAAGCTCAGCCTCTGTCTCCGCCCCCTGCTCCTTCCCCGCTTAGCTTTCCAGATCAGGGACGCTGAGGCCCATCCTGGGTCACACGTGGCCCATGCCTCTTCCCATCCAGGTCAAGGGCGGGTTGTCAAGGGTGCCCGGCGACACCCAGAGCCACAGGCACAGAATTAGGTAGAAGCCAGCCATGGGTCTGGGCCCAGAGGAGCAGCCATGGAACCTCCATGGGAAGTAGCTATCACGGGAACAGGCCCAATTGCCTAGGTGGGTACTGAAGGCCCAGGGTACTATTCACCCCAACCCCATCTCTCCTGCCGATCTCCTCCAATCATCCATTCACTCAAAACACCAGTGCACATGAAATGAAGGTAAATAAAATTTAAAATCTTTCAGCCAATGGCTGTTGGACAGAGTCCTAGAATCTTCCACTGAGGCAACCAACACACTCAGCCTGCGTGCTTTTCTTCTATCCACCTCTCCCTGACCTTCAAACTTCCTCAGGAGGGTGACCCACGTTTCTCTCTGTCTCTTGCCTTTATCTTTTTTTCAGCCATTTCCATTCCGGATCTGCTTCTGTCACTGTTACAGGTGATGCCTGGGCCACTAACTTTTGACCTTTCCGTTGCTCGCTCCATGGCAATTACCTGATGCTACCTGTGCCCCATCCTGTCCTGGAAGCCAGATTCTCATATCAGACAGTATCACAGCACAGCACGTCATGTCGTATCACATCATATCATAGGTTTCCCCTAACCCATGTAAAAAGCCAAGTGTGTGGCCAACCACAAGAGGGGCAGGAGGTCCCTGGGGCTTGGTGGCCAGACAGCCTAGTGAATCTGTGAGCTCCAGGCCAGCGAGCCCTTGTCTCAGAAGGCTAGAGGGAATGGCTGCTGAGGTTGACCTCTGGCCTCCGTGTGCAGGCGCACACACATCTGCACTTACATGTACACACACAGAATGAAGGAGCACAGGAGGGAAAGAGAAGGGGGAGGGAGGGAGGGAAGGGGAAGGGGGGAGGAAGGAGGAAGGCTCTGCCACAGGCCAAGAGAGCATTCCAAGACCCCCTAGTTTTGGACGGAGTGTGGCTTTTCTAATGGACTCTCTCTAGACGTCCGACTCACAGACTGACAGGCCTGGGCAGCAAGTCAACCTCCAGTCACGCCCTGCTCTGGGCCCTGCTCTCCCCGCAGCAGAGGGAAGCTCGCCCTAGAGCTTAAGAACAGCAGAGGACCCTCAAAGGAGCATGAACAGAGGGACAAAGCCTGGCAGGAGAGGGGGGAGGTGAAGAGACGCAGCTGGACCACAGGCTGGCGGTCTGGGCATTAGACAGAAGGTCTTAGCGGCTGAGTAGGAGTCCGTCAGGCAGAAAAGAGGACAGGGAAGAGGCGAGGGACAAGGTTGTGTGATCAGAGCCATCACTGTCTCGGGGCTGTGGGGTGTTGAAGGGGCAGAGAGGCATAGGCAGTGCCAGGCTATAGTGAGTGGCTTTTAGGGCAGGGTTGGGGAAGGACCCAGGGTGATGAGGGGTGGGGTGGGGGTGGAGATGAATTTAGTTCCAATCTACTTCTTGCCCTCCCTGCTCCTCATCACTTCTCTTCTCTAGAAACTGAGAACCAAGCCTGCACTGCCCAAGCTTCCATTTCCAAACCCAGGCCTCAGTTTCCCCACCTGAGTTTCCTTGGGTGTCTGCAGGGGTTCTTTATATGGTGAGAGGGCCGGGGCCTAATTTCTGGGGATGACTCCTGAGCGCGCGCACGCACACACACACACACACACACACACACACACACACACACGGGCTAGTGCTCACAGAGGACCTCTGTAGCCCAGGGCAGGATGGGGACAACAGAACGTGCTGTGCCTGTCCCGCCGCCCCAGCCCCGCAGCCCTTCCCTGAGGACAGAGTAGAGTGTGGCGTTCCGGACTCTTAAACCTCTTACGGTCAGATCTGCACAATCCTGGCGATGAGTGGGACTGATCACACGTGTCTAAAAATACGGCTCTGTCCTCGGTCAGGAACTAGAAGAGCAGCGGGGCAGGGCTGAAGCAGGGCAGGGCTGGAGCGGGGCAGGGCTGGAGCGGGGCAGGGCTGGAGCGGGGCCAGGCCTTCCGATGGTGGAGTGGCCGTCCCTCCGATCTTGCACCCCTGGGGCAGCACAGGCCGAGGGCCAGGGCAGGGCCGCAGAGACAGGTGGAGAGCTATTGATCGATAACCTCACCGTTCCGATGTTCTGCCCATAGAGCATGCTTCCTGCTAAGGCCTGCTGCCTCTGCGGCCCAGCTCCAGGCAGGGCTGCCCTGGCGGCACTGTGCCGCAGAGCCCTCGGGCCCTGACGGGCAGGTCCTGGAGGCTGAGGCTGGAGCAGACAGCCTGTGCCCTTGCTCCTCAGCTCACGTTGAGCACTGAGGCTGGTTTGGCTGGGCTCTGGCTGGGTGACCTTGGGGGAGTTACTGACCCTCTCTGGGCTTCCTTAGGCCCCCTCATCTGTAGAGAAGAGCGTGGCTCTCCCTCCTAGGGCGGTGGTCAGGGAGCACACTCATGATTATTTAAGGTTGCTAGAACTCTGTACTTCCTTTTTCTCTGTTCTTGTGGATGGTTTTCTAGACCTTCCTGATCTAAGGGGAAGCCCTGTAAAACACCCTGGGTGGACAGAGAGCATGCACAGCCTTGGCTTCACACAGAAAAGGCCCTGGGGACCCCCTCCGGCTCCGGGGGGGTTCCTCACAGCCCCCCAAGGCTGCCTGGACCCTGCCTG